TGAGCAGTTCTTTATTGGCAGCTCTGAAATCCAAAATACCCTGAAGACCAAGCATTGTTTTTTAATTCAACAAGTGGAAAAACTGACCTGAAGCAGTGTTAGACTATTTGTGGTCTCTATCCCACAAACACTGATATTTTGTTGTAGAAACAGTGAATGGTGAAGTGCTGTCCTGGATTCAGGTAAAGGTGTTAGGCCATGGCCTGCTGTGCTCACCTTTCTAAATTTCCAGAACACCTGTGGTCTGAAATAGAGCTGCCCACAAGCTTCCGGATGGTGGATTTCTGACCTCTTACCAGTCTCACAGAAATGGTGTTTATCGCTAGCACAATCTAGACATGATGACAAAGGTCGTGTTCCTGAAATAATTTCGTTGCATCATTCTCCTTAAAAGGATTTTCAGAAGCCTCTTTTTTTCCTAGGGGAAAAGATGTCTTCTTTTTGATGATGCTGGAGATCTAACCCAGAGACTCATGTATGCTAGACAGGCACTGCATCACTGAGCTACTCTCCTGGCCCCTTAGTGTAGAATGTGTACCTACTGCAGGTGGGGATTTATCTGGTGATATCTCGGTTGAGTCCTTGACTTTCTGTCTTCCTCAAATCATTTCTTTTGTCATCAGTGAAAGATACTATTGACACCCTGGACTCTGTGCTTTTACCATGTGGTATTTTTATTCTGGGAACCCTTTTTCTCTTTGTCAAAATTGTGATTGTTCAGGAATTTCTGCTTCTACTTCTTGAGGTTTTTCCTGACTGTAGGCCAGAGAGAAGAGTATATTTTTATGGTTTTAATATGAATATAGTTTACCTTCCTGACTACATTGTTGTTATCCCTTAGCTGGAAGAAGCTCAGTTCTAAATTCTTAGCATTCATCATGTCTTGTGGTGATTTGGATTTGTTAGATACGTTTACTGATGTTTGATTTAAAGGAAGATGGACTTGGTGTCTGGTAGAGCAGCAGAAGTGGACTGAAATCAGATTGTCAGACTGTTTTTTTGTTTGTTTGTTT